CACATCAGAACTCTTTGTACCATGGAGAAACAGTATAAATAAATCATGTAATAAAATGACCTTTCCCAAATCACGTTTTGGCGAGAAGACGTTTTTTACAGCTGTCTCCTTGCTCTAACTTCAGATGTCAGCAACATTGGAGCTTTTACAAGCCCTACTAGAAGTTTGACGTCCAGTTCAATTCAGTTCTGGGGAGGCTTAATTTAGTATAATTCCTTTTCAAGTTTTTGGGCAAAAATGTATACACAAACTGCCAATGAACCAGGGTATGGACAAATCACATCCATATCTTTGAGCTTAGAGTCTGCTTCTGGAGAGGAGAAAGTTCTGGGAGAAGGATTTCTGAGAAAGAAATAAAGAGAATTCTTTATTTTGTTATTTGTTTATTGGCTTGGTTAAGATAGCTGATTGCGTTGTCCTGGGAATTGTGGACCACGTGACATGTAAATAAGGAAACAGCTTGCAAAGTGACATGTGAGTCCTCCTTTTCTGCAGTGCTTTTGTTCAGAAATGAGACAGTCCTGCCAGGAGAAGAGCTGCCACTTTAGGGAGTGGGGGGTGGGGTGTTCATTTTCTACAGGTGGCAGTGTTTTGTGAGTATCTGAGAGACCACACTATTTGTCAACACAGCCTAATCCACATGTCAAACAACATTTCCAGGCTGTTTCCAGAATATAGCCTATCCAAGTTGATTACCAGAAAGGTCAGAATTCACAGAAACATATAAATACCCAAAGGAATTGAGTAGGCTGGGAGAGATGAGAGAAGGAATCCAGAGAGTATTTGCCTTTTTTCTTTTTTAAATTAATTTTCTAATTCTGTTTTAGCTGGGGGCATTGTAGAACTTTGGGAACAGAATAGAAGCAGAAGTTAAGCTATACATTTTCTCTCAAAGCTGTTCTAGAACATTCTCGTCTCCGGCCTTGGGAGGACGCCGAGTGCGGGGAGCCTTTTCTCTCCTAGTCATTTTGAGTTATTTGAGAATACAGTGGAGAAGGAAGTCATGACTTAAAAATCAAGTAGCATTCACTTCCTTTTTCTTTTCTTACAAGGACCAATCTAGGGACTGAGGATTAGAAATCATGAGTGCCCATGACTTCTTCCTCCTTCTGTCCTTCTGTTGGTCTCGTGACTTCTTTTACTCTTCATTCCTTGACTCTTCTCCTTCGAATTCCTCTTCTCATCAACAGTTTTCTAGTGTTGCTATTTTTTATCATTCTTCTCCATCTCCTATTTTTTAAAAGAATTATTCATTTATTTCATTCCATTTGTTGTTATTATTTTTAAATTTGAGCAGAAAGAGAGAGAGAGAGAGAAAGGGAAAGTGAGAAAGCAAGCCACCAGGTCTGGGACTCCAACTGCGGTCAGTCATGTCAGAATATTGCACCTTTAGCCACCTTGTCACCTGCCAGCCCCTCCATCTCCTGTTTTTTACTAAGCTTTTTCCTTTTTTTCTCTTCCTTCCTTTAAGCATCCATTTCATGTCTTGTTTATTCATGTTCTAGTTAAGAAATTGGGATCTACATTTTTTTTCCTCAGGATCTCAGCACAGACCTAGCAAAACAGGTGAACAGGCAAAGCCAATGCCCCATTCCCAAGAGCTTTTGGCTCTTGCCACCACGTTTTTCCTCTGTAATCACTAGGCTAGAGTTTATTTTGGGAGGAAGTTCCACTATGAATTGTTCCAAAGTCTACAAGAAAAAATGGTAAGATGAAACAGAGTCTTATAAAACTGTAGGTGGGCTGATCACATCTATTAGTGAATAATCTCTCTTTTAAAACAGAAAAAAATGACTTTTTATTTTTTTAAGTGAGGTCATTATAAATGCCTAGCCTTTGTTTTCCTTTTCAAATTCAAATTCAGTTACACCCTGAGTTTAAAAGATGGCAAAAATAAAAAGACAACAGTGACAAATATTTAATAAGTGTCATAATACAGATAAAAATGTGATAATAAAATATGGATATTAAAAAAGATCATGGGAAATACATATCATGAAAAAAAAAACTATGTATAGATTTCAAACTTTTTTGCACCAAAATAAACTTATACTTTAATTCCATTTTTCCATAAACTTCCTGAAGTATCCCATACTTGTTTCTCATTAAAGAAGACTGGTCTGCTGGTTAAACTCTGCTTTGAACTATATAACATATTCAATCATTTTGACTATAAAAATAAGAATTTCATGTTACTTGATGAAATTGGCTGACATCAGGTAAAACTGTGATTAGGACTAAATACATCATTAGAATCTTCCAAGACCAGAAGGGCCACGAGCACTTGATCCCTGACTACTATACCAGATCCATGAACAAGCATCATTATCGGAGTGCTTTCTCCATATACTGTGATGATATGCAGTTCACATAAAGGTGACAAATGTAGGTTAACAACTTAACTCATTGGTCTACTGAGTATTTGAATTGCAGCAGGAGTATCAAAGCCTTCATCCAAACATAAGCAATTCTTTTTTTTAAATTTTATTTATTTATTTTTGAGAGGTTTTCGCTATAGGGCGTGTGTGCTCGCCAGACAGACAGAGAGAGACAGAAAGCGAGAAATCACTCCCCAGGAGGGATGGTCATGCCGCAATCCCTTCTCCTCCATTCTCCTCTCAGGATCTTGGGCACGCACGCACATGTGCCCGGCGTGAGTTCTAAGCCACCGGGTCCGGGACACAAACCGCGATAGACTACGTGGGAATCCAGCGACATAGCCATTACGCTAACTGCTGGTTCCCCAAACATAAGCAATTCTAACAGCTGTATTTAAAGACATGATTATGAAGTAGAGATGACATTTCATGGGATCACATATTGTTGAAGCTGAAGTGAACCTTATTATTGTTATTTTATATGAACCTTTTATTTTAAACATGAGAAAAATGTAAATCGAGGTACACCATGAATACCAGGACCAGACTCTCACATGGTGGCTCATGCTGCAAGTTTCCTTGCCACTACATACTCTGTTACTTCATTGTGTATACCACCGCCTATTTTCTAGCCCTGTCTCTGTCTCACTTCAGCTCATAGACTGTACTTCTACACAAAACAAGGACTGGGAGGAAGAAGGCATGAAAGAGGAAAAGGAGTCATTGTGTTCTGATTCTGCAATGAACATTTTTTCATCTCAAGATGGTAAACTAGGCCCCACACCGTGGGGCGGCATTGAAACACCATGCTCTGCAAGGCTGACACATACGAAGGTCCTGGTTTGGTGTCCAGAGAGACCTCCCTGAGTATACAGTGTACATATCTGTGATCTGGGGGTTGGCTGAAGCTGGAGATAGATCATGGCATCACACTGTTTGGTGTACTGTCTGTCACTCTTCTGTCTCTTTTGCTCACAAAAGAACTTTTTTTTGGAGAAGTTTTTGCGATAGGGCACGTGCGCTCGCCAGACAGAGGGAGACAGAAAGTGAGAAATCACTCCCCCAGGGTGGATGGCCACGCCGCAATCCCTTCTCCTCCATTCTCCTCTCGGGATCTTGGGCACGCACGCACACGTGCCGGCGTGAGTTTTAAGCCACTGGGTCCAGGATGCAAATCGTGGTTGACTACATGGGAGTCCAGTGACATAGCCATTATGCTAACTGCTGGTCCCACAAAAGAACTTTTTAAAAAAGACATCATAAACTGGAGCCAGCAGGTGGTATAGTGGTTGAGGTGCTGGATTCCCACATGGCTGACCGTGGTTCGAGTCTTGGACCTGGCAGCTTGAAACTCAAGCTGGGCAGGTGTGTTTGCATGCCCAAAATCCCAAGAGGAGAATGGATTGTGGCATGGCCAATACCCCCTGGGAGGTTATTTCTCACTTTCTGTCTTCTCTGTCTCTCCAGTGTACACATGCACCCTATAACAAAAAAGCTCTATAAACACAAGAATAATAAATCACAATAAGCTAAACATAAAATATAGCTTCCTCAACCAACTGAAAGTCTTCAAAAATGTAAGAGAACATATTTAAAATGAATTTGCATAGCTGTGCTGTAACACTAGAAAGGAACTCTTAAGTGGGCCATAAACTATGGTAAATCCCTGTAAGATAGAAATTAGGTAAAATAAAATTGAGGAGTGAAACTATAGCTCAACATACACCTGGGAAAGTCCATTTATACTCTATCGAATTCCATTTCCTCCTCTCCACCTCAAGATGAATCTGGGTTATAATTTCTCCACCCTCTAAACCTTCCTTGCTTTAGAACTCTCTTTATTGACTTGTTATACATCAGTTCTTTTTATCACCTTTCTTCTCATTATCACTCACCAAGAACTCTAGGAGATCCTCTTGCCTTAATCATGTCCCAATGAAATTTTAATACCACACTGGATGTATATCTGTGCTCTATACACAGAAAGAGTAAGACCTTTCACTGCCTGTGAACAAATTTTTGCCCTCTTGGAGATAATATAGTCCTCCCATTAAGAACATATCTTCGGAGCCGGCAGGTGGTGTGGTGGTTGGGGGCACAGGCCTCCCACATGGCTGACTCTTATTTGAGTCTTGGACCTGGCAGCTTGCCTTCTCACTTACTCTCTGTCTCTTGCTCTCATTTTCACTCTGTCCCTCTCTGGTCAACTTAAAATAAATAAAAAATAAATAAATGAATAAAGAAAGTTAAAAATAATTATTAAACACACACACACACACACACACATACACACCTTCTATACCCAAGGATCATGTAACTTTTTTAAGAAGATACTCTGAGAGGAGAGGTTCTCTGGATCTTTTCAAGTCATGCCATGGAGGCTCAGTATTTTTCTACCTCATAGTTTCCAACTCTGTGTCATTAATGATAGTTTCTGTGAACAGAATATTTTTTTACTAGAAGAATATGTATAGAGGGAAAAAAGCAAGCACTAAAACATGCCTTATAAGTATTTACTCCTTGTTTAATTTTTCCTTCTTAGTATCCCAGGACACGTTTTGCAGAGATGACTCCCTCTAGATAGTGCGTTGAATGTACCTATCAATATATAAACAAACTCACTGTGGCAGACAGCCTGTAAGATGGAGTCACTGATCTTTTCTTCTTGGTATTCATGCACTTGTGTAATCCTTTCCTTCTTCCTGAGTGTGGGCCAGGTTTACTCACTTGCTTCTAAAACATAATTTGGCAGAATTAATGAAATGTCACTTCCAAAATTGGGTTATAAAAAGACTGTGGCATCAGGTACCAGTAGGTGGCTTGGTAGTTAAAGTGTTGGACACTCCCACATGGCCAACCATGGTTCAAGTCCTAGACCTGGTGGCTTGCTTTCTCATTTTCTTTTTCTCTCTCCTTCTCTCTCCAAATTAAAATAAATTTAAATGAATGAATAGATAATTCTAAAAAAAAAAAAAAAAGACAGTAGCATCTATCTTGGATTATCCCTCTCCCTTACTTCTCTCCTCTCTCAGTCTCTCTCTCTCTCAAATTGCCAACTGCCATGTTATGAACAGCTCTATGAAAATGCTCACTTGGTATATAACTGAAGTCTCAAAACAATAGCCACATGACTGAACTCTGAAGCATCTCTCTGCCTCTGTCATACCTTGGTTGACTGTCCCTTGGCTCATGACTTGATCACAGCCTCAAGAGATAATCTAAGCCAGAGCCATCCATCTAAATTATTTTCAGATTTCTGACTCATAGAAAATGTGAGATAGTATGTGTTTACTGTTTGAAGCCCCTAAGATTTGGGATAATTTGTTATGAGCAATAGAAATATAATACATTATCATTCATTTCTATTTGTTTCTTTCTCCAGTTATACATTATCATATCTTGCCCAATTTACCTTTTTTTTTTTAATCAGTTAGAGGGCTGTTTTTTTGTGTGTGGTTATTTTTTTTTTTTTTTTTTGGAGAGGTTTTTTGCTACAGGGCACGTGTGCTCGCCAGAAAGACAGAGAGAGACAGAGAGATAGAAAGCGAGAAATCACCCCCCGGGGGGATGGCCATGCCACAATCTCTTCTCCTCCATTCTCCTCTTGGGATCTTGGGCATGCATGCACAAGCGCCAGGTGTGAGTTTTAAGCTACCAGGTCCGGGACTCGAACCGCAGTTGACTACATGGGAGTCCAGTGACATAGCCATAACACTAACTGCTGGTCTCAGGGCTGTTTATTTTAGAAAGACAATGGAGGTAGGACTAAATGCTTTACCAAACTAAAAATAAATACGAGCAAATTAGAATTTAGTTTCCCATGTTAATGGTATGAGAAGAGTGATATTTGATGGAATAAGATGTGATCTGTTCAAATAAAAGTCACCATACTTGGTTGTCCTTTCTAGTTAAATTCTTTTAAAATTTTGATTATATAAAGAAACTTCATAAGTTTCACTCCTAACAACTCAAAATTTATTTACGGGGACCAGCAGTTAGCGTAATGGCTATGTCGCTGGACTCCCATGTAGTCGACCGCGGTTCGTGTCCCGGACCCAGTGGCTTAAAACTCAAGCCAGGCGCGTGTGCGTGCATGCCCAAGATCCCAAGAGGAGAATGGAGGAGAAGGGATTGTGGTGTGGCCATCCCCCCTGGGGGATGATTTCTCGTTTTCTGTCTCTCTGTCTCTCTCTGTCTGTCTGGCGAGCGTACGCGCCCTATAGCAAAATCCTCCCCCCCCCCAAAAAAAATTATTTATGAAGATTTTGGGAAGTTTGTTACCTTTTTGTCACATTAAAAGAGTAGGTTAAGGGGGCCAGCAGGTGGTATAATGGTTAAGGCACTGGACTCAGATAGGACCAACTGTGGTTTGAGACCTGGTGCCGGCCGCTTGAAACTCACACTGGGTGCATGTACATGCATGTCCAGAATCCCAGGAGGAGAATAAAGGGATTGTAGTGTGATTGGGGGTGATTTCTCACTTTCTGTCTCTCTTTGTCTCTCTGGTGAGTACACATGCTCTACAGTAAAAACCTCTCTCAAAAAAAAGAACAGGTTACAAAAAGTACAGCATTAAAAGAGTACTAGGGGGATGTTCAGCAGCTTAAAAGAACAATTTTTCCCTAAGACTGTAGTAGCAACTTGACCTATAAGTAAATGGAAAACTATATTCATATAGCCCCTGTCTGTTCATCAGAATAGGTCCAATGAATTCTCTACATGGCTCTACTTTTACCCAGTTCATATCATTTTATACTTCCTGTATTGCAGCTTGATTGATTCATTCATTCATCAAGTATCAAAAAGATAATAAGACTTTCTTTTTTAAGTCATATTTTAATTAAAATACTTTATTAATTCAGAATTGTCTCTTTCTTCAGTAACTCTAAATTAATAAGTTCTTTCTCTGAGACTATTTTAAATTTCTTTCTATCTTGGAGCCTGGTGGTGTTGGTCTGGTTTGATTGATTCATAGTGTTTCCTTCTTTTTTTTTTTTAATGAATTATTTTAACTTTTTTCTTTATTTATTTTAATTTGACCAAATAGGGACAGGGTGAGAGCAAGACAGTGAGAGAAAAAGAGAGGGAAAGTGAGAAAGCAAGCTGCCAGGTCCAGGACTTGAACTGTGGTCAGCCATGTGGGAATCCAGCACACTTAACCACCACACCACCTGCTGACCCAAAGTGTTTCCTTTTTTTTTTAAAATAGCCAGTCAGAATTTTTCTCTGGGTGTCAAGAAATCTAGAAAATAACATTTTTTCTTGGAAGTTTTAGTCATTAAGATGGCAATATTTTATGTAGCAAGAATATGACACACACACACAAAATACCTCATTTATACTATGCAGTCATTTATAAAGATGGAATTTTTGGTCTGGTTAATGGCCTCGCAATTAAAGGAGCTGGATCCCACATAGCAGACTATGGTTCAAATCCCAGCCCCAGCGGCTTATAAAACACAAACGGTAAACGGTGTGTGTGTGTGTGTGTGTGTGTGTGTGTGTGCGTGCGCGCGTGTGTGTGTGCGCGCGCGCGCACGCGCATGCGTGCACATGCTCAGCTCCCAACAGGATGGAGAAATGGCAGAGAAGGGATTGTAGCATGACATACCCCATCAGAGGGTCCTTCCCTCACTCCCACCCCCATGTGTCTCTGGTAAGCACATGTGCCCTCTGGCAGTTTTTCTAAAAATTAAAATATTCATTTAATTATCCTTCTATTCTACTGATATAATCATTTGAATCTGATACACTGATAGATCCAAATGTCTGCTTAGACATTGGAGGTTTGAAACTTCATTTACTTTACTGACAGTTGTCTATTAATGTGTTTGGGCCATTTGCACGATAACTGATTCAGATGTTTGCTTCTATTGTTGTTATAGAGAAATCTGAAAACCTTCCTCATTGGTTGATTGCCTCATTATACAGTACACTGTCAAGGCCATCCTGACAAAACTCAGGCAATGAAGCAGAAAACTGCTTTTCTGTATTTAGCAGAGTCTTGTTTGTTTGTTTGGTTTTTTAAAAAAGAGTTTTCAAGCCCCTGGGCTTTGTTGTCTAGACAAATCAATCAAATTTGTCATTGTCCCTAGCCCCCAAGGTCACAGATAAGGTAACAGAACAGCCAGAAGGAATCTCAGTTTTCAGGCTTCCAGTTGCTATACCAGCTAATTTAGATACCCTCAGGGTCAGAATCAGGACATTATAGTCCTAGAGATTAATATGTTTTTATTATCTGCTAAATTCTTAAAGTATTTAACCCTCATAAAACCCTATAGAAATATGTTCTACTTTCTTTTCTTTTCTTTTTTTTTTTTTTTTTTTTAAATCTCCTCTTACCAATAAGGAAAGATAACCTCAAAGTATTTAAGGCAACCTCCCAAATTCCTTTAGTTTAATTTAGGGCAGTGGATCACAATCAGGAATGATTATTCGCTCCCTTCCCAGGGGAAATTTGGCATGATCTAGAGATATTTTTGGTTGCCACAACAAGGGGAAGATGCTGCTGGTGACTAGTACATAGTGGCTATTAAGTATCCTGAGAAACACAGGATAAGCCTCCATAGCAAGCAGTTATGCTGCCCAAAACGGCAGTCGTGCCACTGTTGAGAAGCTCTGGCCTAGGATCTCCAGCACCGTCCAAGAGAACTTCCTACATTAATTGGAGTGCTCTACTAAAACATTTGGAATGTGGCTACTGTGATAAAAAACTGACTTTAATTTCACCTAGTTTTAAATAATTTGTTTATTTTTAATTTACCAGAGTGTGCATGCACTGGACAGAGAGATTGAGGGAGAGAGAAAAAGAAACCTTACTGCGTCATGGTCATGCCTGCAACCCCTGCTCCTCTGTTCCTTCCTTCTGTTGAGATTTTGGACACACATGCACACATGGCTGTTGTGCTTCTCATGCCGCTGGGTCTGGGTCTTGGACTGCACTGTCGGCCATGTGGAATCTGGCTCCATTAGCCACTAGGCCATGATACACCACATGTATCTAGTGATTACTCTGTGGGACAATGCCCAAATTATTTAGTATGCTATTACTTGCTCTTCTGTAAAATAGCCTATCATCATCATCATCATCATCATCATAATTTTATGGAGTTCTTATAAGAAGTAAGATAAGGAAATATACAATAAACGGGTTACTAGCTACTGTTTTAGGAATTAAGTAATAAATACATGTATGCACACTAATTCTGCCTTTAAATGTTTGCATATTTGTATTATAGGTGTACATATACATACATGTGAACAAAGGAATTTCCAAAGAATGGTCTCAGAGAATAATTACTTGTTTAGATAGTCCGCAACTATTACAGTGTACCAACTTAAGGTCTCTAGTCCTGTTGAGTCTCCTATGTCACCTCCTACAACTATCACAAAGGTCAGGACCTCAAATATTAGAAACCCTCTTTACTACAGTAATGAATATCTAAGCTTTAACAAAGTCATTCAGGGGCAATTATTAGCAAGGCCCACTACCCCCACCACTCCAAGGTCACGCTTCCTTAAATATCAATGCCTCAGTGACTATATGTTTGAATTTGAAAAGTAAAAATGTGGCAGCTACTCTGTGGCTCTGTGACATGCCAGACAAGGACAGGAACCCTTCAGAAGGACACAGAGACCTCTTGGAAGCTGAGAAATGAGCTGCTCTCAAAATTCAGGGAAACACCCTTCCTGCCCAACACCCCACAAAAAAGCTAGTCCATGTGCATACGAGG